GGGGTTCATGGGGGGGTTCATGGGGGGCTCATAGGGGGTTCATGGGGGGGTTCATGGGGGTCTCATGGGGGGCTCATGAAGGGGCTCATGTGGGGTTCATGGGGGGGTTCATGGGGGGTTCATGGGATGCTCCGAGTCCCCCTGGCAGCACCAGCTCCATGCCCGCACGGCAGACCCCATGACAGGTGTCACGTGACCCCCACCCGTACGGATCACACGGGGCGGGCCGCGCGTCGCTGCCGCCACCTGCCGGCTCCTTCGCCGCCGCCTGCGCGCGGGGTCCCCGCTCGGCTGCCGTACGAGCGGCAGTGCGTCAGCGTCAGGTGACCGGAAGTACCGGGAGGCGCCGGGGGTGGCTGGGCCGAGGGGCTGGCGGGCGGCAGGGCTGGAACCGGGCCCCGGTGAGTGCGAGCGGCGCGGCCGCTGCCCCGACCCGTTCCCTCCTTTCCTCTTCCCCTTCCCTTTCCCCTTCGTTTCCCTTCCTTTTCCCCTCCCTGTCCCCTCCGCTGCCCCCTCACGGGGAGAGGGGAACGGCGCAAGTGCCCCCCCCCCCACCCGCCGCCCTATCCGGGACCCGCCGCAATAGGGCCTGCAGCGCTCCGTGCGCGTTACACGTGTGTGCGACGTGCGCGTATGTTACACGTGTGTTTGTTACACGTGTGTTGTTTGTTACACGTGTGTTTGTTACACGTGTGCGTGCAACGAGTGCGTGTTGTAAGCGTGTCACATACGTGTGCGTTACACGGGTGTGCGACGTGCGTGGGTCACGTGCGCGTGTGTTACACATGTGCGTGCAACGAGTGTGTGTTCTAAGCGTGTTACATACGTGCGCGTTACACGTGTGTCTGTGTATGCATGCGTGTGTGTTATGTGCTCGTGTTAGCCATGCCGTGTGTCGGAACGGCCATGGGTGTGAGGAGCCGCTGCACTGCCCCGGTGCTGGCCGGGCCTTCCCTGTTCCCGGAGCCTTCCAGGCCCGGCAGGGGTTGAAACGGGATAAAGCAGCACCAGCAGCCAAAGGGTGACCTTTGTTCACCCTGATGTTGGAATGTGATGGGGGGAAGCTCCTTCTCTCCTGTTCTGTGCAGCCCCCGGGTGTTAACTGCAGGCTCTTGGCCAAAATGAGCTGCTTTGCTCCCAGCGTGGCCCTGACTGCCGGCATCTGGAGCTTCTCAGTGTTAGCAGGAGGTGCCGGGTGCTCGGGTACCACCAGTGGTGCTGGGCAAGGGGAAGCAGGGCTGGGTGTGCTCCTAGTGTGGGTCTTGTGTGGGTTTCAGGGGGGATTGAGAGTTTCAGGGGGACCCTGAGTCAGGGTGCAGCTGTATCCCCTTTCAGGGAGCTCATACTGTGCTGGGCAGCATCCTTCCAGGAATGTTGTTGTCACAGAATCCCAGCCTGGTTTGTGTGGGAAGGGACTTTAAACCCCATCCAGCTCCAACCCCTGCCATGGGCAGAGACCCCTTTCACTGGAGCAGCTTGCTCCAAGCCCCTGTGTCCAACCTGGCCTTGAACACTGCCAGGGATGGGGCAGCCACAGCTTCTCTGGACCACTCCTCGCATCTAGCTAACACTGAACTCGTGTTCCTGGCCTAGAGCTGGGCTGTGAATGTGACCCAGACACTGACACAAAGATGTTTTCATCGCAGAGGACCTCCACAAAGTGCATCCGCGGCTGCAGCGCCCAGCTCCAAGCCCCTTTTTGGAGTCACTGGAAGCGAAATCTCTGCAGAGACTTGCCCAGAGGTGGGAAGGAGTTTGGCTGTGGTTGAGCGAGGAGGAAGGCAGGCTGATTACTCAGGGTAACAGGAAGAGAGGGAAGCTGAGGGGAGGCGTAGGTTGAGTTGGAAGAGGGATGCTGTAGAAACTTCAAAGATCACAAAGACTGAGGCTGGGGGTGGGTGAAAGTCATGGGCAAAAGGGCACTTGGACCTGTTTCTTTCAAAGGTGCTTTTGACGTATCTTGACCCGTGCCAGCCTCACTCTCCTGTTCCCTTATTTTGCTGGATTAGCAGTAAGGAAGGAGAGGAATAATTCTCTTCCTTTACTTTGGAATACCCTCCCAAATGTGTCACAGCTTAGCACAGAACAACATGGATGGTGTTAGCAGCGCACGACATTCACCTTTGGTGTCTGAACACCGGGACTTTGAAGTGGGTCTCTTGTCACCAAGGGGAGTGTTTCTGGTGACAGCAGAATGCTGCATTTCATAGGATCGCCTTCAGCAGCAAATAGGTATTGGTTTCACTAAATGGCCTCTCTGAATAGTGCTTGCTTGTCTCTAAGGGGAAAATAGGTAGGAGACCTGGAAAACAGAGACAGAGAGGACAGTCTTTTGGAAAGCCTTGGGCAGATAACCCTCCTTTTGTCCAAGGTCATTATTGCAGCTTGAAGCAGCCCCTCAGTGTGCTCCAGGACCTCTGGGAGGTGCTGGGAAATGATGTTGGAGGGGATGGGGTTTCATTCACCCAGATCTGAGCCTTGCCCCCTGCGTGCTGCCTGTCTCCAGCAGAACAAAGACAGATCTGTCACTTGTGGCCAGGCCAGGCTGGACAGCACAGCCAGAGCCTTGCAGTCCAGCTCCTGCTTGCTGCTGGCTTTGCAAGGCTTGGGCTGTGCCACAGCATCACAACGCTTGGCTCTGGTTGTACTGTCCAGGTTCTTCCCTCTGCTCACAAGGCAGTCAGTGACTGTCTCCAGAAGTCTTCATTTCATCTTCCCTCTTCCCCCTCACCCAGAACCTCCTATTCTCCACCCAGGTTGCTTGTTTCACCTCTCCTGAGAGGGTTACAGCGTCAGCAGCTTCCCCTCACCTCCCAGCTGCTTTTTGCTGCCCCAGGTTCTCTTCATGGAGCAGAGGATGCGAGATGTCCTCGTCTGCCACAGTGTGAGTCAACGCAGGGGATCCCAGAGGGATTGAGCCACTTGACTTTGCACTGGAGCAGATGGGGAGCGCTCCCATGCCAGCCGGGTGCTGAGATCCTGTCCTCAGACAGGAGCTGAGCACCAAAAGGCAGAGGTAAAGGTGCCTGGTGAGAAAACAGCCTGCAGAGAGCAGCAGGCAGCTTGTGCCTGGATGGATCAGAGGTGTCTGCCTGCCTGATGGTAGTTACTGCTTTTGCTGCTGTGGTAGAGTTCAGGGTGCGTGATACAGCCATGGAACCATCCCCATAGCAGGCAGCACCCCACATTTGGCACCAAGAGGTCCCCATCCTCCCTCCCTTCCCCATCTCACCCTTCCTTGAAAGCAGCTGATGTTTTGCTGTTGTAATGCAGGAATAGACCATAGAATGGATCATGGGAGGTAGGGAGATTCTTCTACTCAAAAAAACCCCCTTTATATTCAGCCAGAGCACATGGGATCCCATCACAGCCCTCTGCTACTCATACCCCAAAGCCACAGTGTTCACCCCCAGTCTTCTTCCCCCAGGGCATCCATTTTGCTGCTGCAAAACTGAGTTTCCCTGCGCCGATTTGACATCCTGATCCAGCCCTAATTGAAAGCTGCGTGCATCAGCAGAGCTCAGAGGGATGCCCAGGAAGGATTTAATTCCCCCATGTGGGGAGCACAGAAGCTAATGTGTATTGCAGCATCTCTGCCAGGCTTTGGTTATCCCCATTGCTCAGCTCCCTGTGGTACTTAAAGCACGAGTGATTTTGAAGCAGTGGTGAACGCCTGGGGTAGATGCATCTTTGGGGTTGGCCACATGGGGTGGGCTCTGAACAGAGCACTGACCTGGTGCTTCTGTTTTCATCAGCATCTGAATCATAAACAGGCTCATTTGGCAGCTCCTGCAGGCTGGCAGCACACAGCTTCCCTCCTGACATGTTTCTCATCCTCACCCTCTGCTGTAGCTGATTTAGGAGTTAGGAAGGCACCTGGCGTGTTTTAAGCCTTGATACTCTAAACTACGGGAAATGCTCCCAGATCCGAGTGTAAAGCTCTGTTCTCTCTGGTTCTCAGCACAGGATGTAACATCTCATAGAACCATAGAATGGTTTGGGGTGAAGGGACCTCAAAACTCATCTGGTTCCAGCCCCTGCCACAGGCAGGGACCCCTTCCACTGGAGCAGCTTGCTCCAAGCCCCTGTGTCCAACCTGGCCTTGAACACTGCCAGGGATGGGGCAGCCACAGCTTCTCTGGGCACCCTGTGCCAGCGCCTCAGCACCCTCACAGGGAAGAGCTTCTGCCTAAGAGCTCAGCTCAGTCTCCCCTTGGGCAGGTTCAAGCCATTCCCCTTGGCCTGGCCCTCCAGGCCCTTGTCCCAAGCCGCTCTCCAGCTTTCCTGCAGCCCCTTTAGGCACTGGAGCTGCTCTAAGGTCTCCCCTTCAGGAGCCTTCTCTTCTCCAGGCTGCCCCAGCCCAGCTCTCTCAGCCTGGCTCCAGAGCAGAGCTGCTCCAGCCCTCGCAGCATCTCCATGGCCTCCTCTGGCCTCGCTCCAACAGCTCCACGTCCCTCTTGTGCTGCTGCCCCAGAGCTGGATCAGGGCTTCAGGGGGGGTCTCCCCAGAGCACAGCAGAGGGGCAGGATCCGCTCCCTGAGCTGCTGCTCACGCTCTGGGGGTGCACCCAGCACACGGGGGGGTTCTGGGCTCAAGCGGTCACTGAAGCTGGGTCATGGGGAGCTTCTCCTCAGTCAGCTGAAGCTTCAGGTCCACTGCACAAATGCGTTTTCATTGTTTAGAATGAAAGAAAAGCAGTTTGGGTCTCTTAAAAAAATGAGAAGTGATTTTTGTCTCATCTCCCATAGTCTCTGCCAGGTTACTTGTAGCTGCTGTGTACCCCATCTTTGGGTATATCAGGTCACTTGGGTGCTTGTCTTGACCTGCCTTTGCATGATGTGATGATTGATAGCAGCTGCCTTACAGCTTTGCAGGGCAACATCTGCCATGGCTCAGGGAAACACTGGCATCACCTCCCTTTTTTGGTAGCATAAAGGCTAAGATTAAAAGTGCTTCATGTTAGGTGGAAGCCACTCATTCTTCGTCTGCCCTTTTTTCAGTACCTGGAAGCAATTCTGAGCCCAGTAAGTTGTGATCCATGGCTACAGTGCTAATATGCCGAAGATTTCCAAGGCTCAGCAGGGTGACCACATTCTCAACTACAGCCAAGTGCAAGGCCAAGAGTGGGAGCAGCAAAAGTGAGGAGGAAAAGGAAGACACCCCAGAATCAGCCACCCCCAGAACCGAATCCACAGCCACAATCCAGTTGCTGAATCCACTGGACTACAGGGTGCTGTATAATCCATCTGCCTATGCCCGAAGCAGAGCTGCCTCCCAGCAGCATGCTGCTGGGAGCATTGGTGATGCTTTCGCCAGCCTTGGCACCACACAGGTTGGTTCCACCTCTTCTCAAGCTTGGCCACCCATCAGAAAGCCCAGGTCCAAATCCCTCCTGGAGCAGACCATCTCAGCAGGCCTCTCTGCAGCACAGACCAAGGAGGAAGCAGAAAAGGAGAAGTTGGAGCTGCACGACTCCAAGGAGGACCCCCGTGTGTTTCAGAAGGGGAGGCCTGAATACAGATCCCTCAGCTATGACAAGTCTGAGCCAGTAGAGACCCTTCCTTTAGAAGAAGGTGACTCCATTCTACGCAGTGTGGCCACCTCCAAGGGCAGCCAGAGCCCAGGAGCTATCACAGATCACTTTGTCAAGCTGAGCCGTTTGCCAGTGGAACAGCACCCGGCGTTGGTGTCCGACCTCAGGTTTAACAAACTGTGTCACTGTGCTAGCAAAAGCATGGGCTTGTTCAGCACTTCAGATCTCATCCATGTTCTGAAGGCTTGTGTCCGTCTGCGCGTCCCAGCAACCCATCCTCTGCTGAATGCATGCGAGAATGAGTTCTGCCGGCGGGTGTGGGACATGAACCTGGACCAGGTGCTGCTGGTGGCTGACTGCTGGCGCTGCCTGGAGCGGAGCGTGCCTTCCTACCTCAGCATTCTGTTCAGCTATGCCAACATGCACTGGAAAGACCTCACTTTGCCCCACTTTGTCCAACTCCTTTATATCATAGGGGAAGGCCGGAGGTCACCCGCGGACTTGATGCAGAGGGTGGAGAGCATGATTCTGAAGCACTTGGATTCCTTCACCTTGGAGGAGATAGGTGCTATCTGCTTGGGGCTCTTTAAGTCCCTCAGTGGTATCTCTGACCATGTCATGAGGAGAATTGCAGACAGGGTGTCGCTGCAGATGGAAGACATGAGCACTTATGCTTTGGTGAACGTGCTGAAGCTACTCCGCTACACTCGCATGGACCACTTGCCCCTCTTGAAGGAACTTGGGAAGGTTATTCCTGCTCGGATTCCTACAATAAACATCCAGGGCATCATGCACATCAGTCTTACCTGTTCATCCCTGCACTACTTTGACGAAGGCATTATGGCTGCTGTGGCTCTGTCATTGCCATCTAAGGTGGCTTACTGCCGAAGCAAAGATGCTGCCAAGTTCTTGTGGTCCTTTGGGTGCCTGGACTATGAACCTCCGAACGAGGAAGAGTTTTACTCCAGCCTCATAGAGCAGATGCATAGAAAACTCCACGAGTTCGCCAAGTTTCCAGAGCATCTCCTTACGGGTTTGCTTGGCCTGGCATTTGTCAAACGCTTCCCAGAGGAGCTGATAGACTGTGCTTTGAGGGATGAGTTTATCCAGAGAACAAGAAGCAGTAAATACGAGCTCCAGAAGGACCTGTTCACCCTTAGTAAGAGTGTTGAAATCGAGTGCCCGAGCTACCAAGGCAGCCGCCTTCCACCTCAGCTTTCCCAAGAGATCACCGAGATGGTTTTGACTTTCGCAGAGCAAGAAATCTACGTCAGGCCTGAGATTGTGGAAGCCACAGCTCTTCTCGAGAGCATGTTGGGGGGCCGCGAGTATGTGAAGAACCACATGATCCTGCCTCACACGAGATCCAGTGATCTGGAGGTCCATTTGGCCATGGATGGACGTCCCATCCCTTTCAACGTAGAAGACCCTGTTAGAGTGAAGAAACTAAAAGACATTGGAGTTAGTTTAACGGATGACTTAATGTTTCAGCTTATAAAAGGGAGATCTAACAACCAGGCTCTCATGGAAGTGGGTAATGAAGCTGAGACTGCCAGGCGGGAGCGAGGAGAGCAAGGATGGACACCAAGCTCAGGGAGGGATCAAGCTGTGCTTTCAGGTGGATCTCTTGCAGATGCCTGCCTTGAAGCCCCCCCATCCCTTAGGCTGAACAGGCATCCTCAAGGGGTGAAGCTGGCTATCCAGGTGTCCAACAGAAACCACTACTGCTACTGCTCCAAGCGCCTGTTGGGGCTGCACCGCCTGAAGCGGCGGCAGCTGCAGCAGCTGGGGTACGTGGTGGTGGAGCTTCCCTTCTGGGAATGGTTTCCCCTGCTCAAACGCACGCGGCTGGAGAAGCTGAGCTACCTCCAGTACAAAGTGTTCAACCCAGCACTGCTGAGCAGGGCTGCTTAAGGTTGGCGGGGAGCTTGCCCACAGCCTCCCCAGTGCATCGTGCTCTGCGGTTACTGGTTAGAATGGTCTCGGAGTGCTGGTTAAGTGTCTGGCTGGTGCTCTGTGTGCTCAGCTCTTGCTGTGTTAGGCAGTTCTGCTCTGCTGAGCCGTGTGCCTCTCCTTTTGTACATAGATCCTCAAAGCACTTCTGTGACAAATAAAAACTCATGGCCTGTGCGTTTTTCTCTGTGATTACTCTTTATTCCCCGCCCTAGATGGAAGTGGATGGATTTGGTGCCTCTCTGAAAGCAGAACAGTGGTGGTTGATGATTTGCAGTGTTTCCATGCTGTTTCCATCACCATCGAGCTGCGGTTGGTGGGCATGCAGTCTGAGCTGCTCCTTGTGTGTGGTGGGTGGGATGGAAGCTGAGGCTGAGACTTGGGATGCTGGGACCCTGAGATGTTAATTTCAGGCTCAGCTGAAGCTCTCAGCAGTGTCTGGCAGAGAGGATTTGCATCTGGTTGACCCCGTTGATAATGTCTGCTGCCAAATGGGGCTGACAGATCCACCTCGAGGTGATTCCCCTGCTCTGTGACAATGAGAAACCAGAGTGTGAACTCTGGCTGTGTGGAGCATCTGCTCTGGAGGCTGCTGGTTTCGCCCCCCTTCCCATGGCTCGCTGTGGTTTTCTTGCTCAGGTGTCTGATCTCTGCACACTGGGCTGAGGATTGAGCTGCTGCTTCCAGGTGATGGTTCTCTCCGAGAGGAGGGATGCTTCCTGAGGTGCACAGGGCAGGCTCTGCATCTGGCCAGAGCTGAAGGGATGATTTCACATGGAGCTGCATGTGAAACTCCCATTCCTGCTGCAAAGGCACTCGGGCTGTTCTGACTGGTTTGTAGTGTGGTGTTTCAAGGTGTATAGAGGTGGAGGACGGGGAAGAGAGGTGTCAGTAGGTGGCAGGGGTTTGGAAGTGGATGGGATTTAAGGCCCCTTCCAACCCAAACCAGTCTGGGACTGTATGATCACACTGCCTCAGTCGAAAGATCCCTGTTCACCATAGGGCAGACACAGACTCAAGGGAGATGGACACTTGTGTGACATCCTGATGGCACTTCACAATCTGAGTCCTTTATGGTCCGTGAGTTGTTTGCTCTGACAAGCAGTGACTTCAGTAATGGGGTCCTGGGCCCGCTGTCCCCATCTGATCCTGGCTTCTCCTCCAACCCATTCCTCTCAACTCTCTTTGCCTGTCCCTGTTCATTCTTGATCCTCAGCCAGCCCCTTTACTGTCCTATCACAGTGTGTCCAGCCAGCTCTCAACTTTCCCTCTTCACACGGATTCTTAGTCCTTACTTCATTCCAGTTTCTCATTCCATCTGCCCCTCCATCCCCACTGTCTTCTGAGTTATGGCTTCATAGAAGAGTAAAGCAAAACACAGCCATGGGGAAAAGTGTAACTCGGTGACCAACTTGGGTTGTGAAGCAAGGGTGTAGCAGAGCTTGTCAGAAGGAGGGACATGCAGCATGATGTCTTTTCTTACTGAGATGTTGAAGCCAGAAAATTAGCTTGAGTTAAGTGTGTCTGGGTCACAAACAGGAGAAAATCCTATAAAAGATACCTCTATATATAGGTACATACTGAATTGAAAGAGCACATTTAGTGAGAGAATAAGATGGTTTTAATTGACCAGAGCCAATTGCCACAAAACACGGTAGAAAAGGATGAAGATTTAGGATGAGACCTCAGGAACAGCTTAAGCTTGGAGGAAGATGTGAGTGTCCTGAGGAGTGGCTTGCACCATCTGTGATTTGCCTATCATGAGGCAGTGCTATGGAAGAGGAGGTTGCACGACCACAAGGTCCACAGGAGAAGCTGGCATCTGATACAGGCAGGATCTCAATAGACAAAGGCTTGTGAGGAGTGAGTTCTTAAAGCAAGGAGTTTGCAGGATGCAGAGGTAAAGGGAGAGTCTCACCACCAACACTTGGTGAAGGCGAATGCACTGGTCTGGTCAGATTGGAATGGAGAGGACTTCAGGTCAGGAAGGAGATGGGAGTTGAAACTGGAACGGAAGGCAAAGCCTGCACCATTGCAAGGAAGGGAACAAAGAGTTGGTTTGTCATAATAGCAGTGCTGAAAGCCAAGCTCATTTACCAGGCAACAGGTTCAGAAGGAACCAAAAAGAGTAGTTCTGGCACCCAGCCTGCAGTTAAACCAGCAACCTTCCTCCTACAGGATGGGGGTGCCAAAAGTGAGACCAGTTTAAAAGCCTGTTTGAACAGCTCCTCACTGGAAGCCTCTCAGGCTCAGAAAGCCAAGGCAGTGCTATCAGAGGAGCATTGGTTTGTGCTTGTCCTGTTCCTGTGTTCCCTGTTAAGGAGCAGGCATTGCTCCTGGTGGCTCTCAGACCAAACACTGGGCTAGAAGGGGTGCTGTCTGGCTTGCTGCAGCTCTTTTTAGGTTCATACCTGCTTCAGTGAAGCATTGGCATTGTCACCTTCAGGCTGTGCTCTCTGCAGGCCTGGCTTCCTGTGGGATTTGTACCTCAGATCCCACGTTTCTCATTCAGAACCAGGCTGCAACCCTGTGCTTTTGCAGGCAGGCAAAGTGAGCTCCTAACACTGGATTCCAATGGACCACCGTGCCCCCAAAGGGCTGATTTCATTTGTCTGAACTAACAGCTTCAGCTGAAACCTATTAAAGGGCTGCTTGTGCTTGAAGGAAGCAGCAGGTTCCTGATTTGGCAATGGGGTATTCAAACTAAGGTTACTGTAAGGTTAAAACTCTTATGGATAATTTCCTTCTTAGGAGGGATGTGATATAACTGATTTGAGTCACATTCTTTTCAATGGAGGAGAAGGTGCATTCACTTGAGTTTCTTTAATGAACACTGTTAGAAGAATCAGCTGGGTCGGTGTTCAGAATATAGATCATCTCCCTCCGAGCTATTAGGTGCTCCCTTGGAGCTCTTAAATACCAATTACTAATATTTGGGTTTAATCTTAGCTTATCTCTAAGGCTCCTGAAGCCCTTAAGAACCATTCTCATTGCAGCAGTGTGTTAGTGTAACACTGACTGGTGTTACCCTCATCCCAAGAGGCCCCATCCCAGCTCGTTGTGCTGGGTGTTGTCCAAGAGCACAAGGCAGGTCCTGCCTCACACTGGAGGCACAGGTAGATGTGGCACACAGGGAGAGCCAGGCACAGGGGTGAAATGGGGAGTTCAAGGCCACTCAATGGGAATGGATGCCAGTAATGGATGCCCTGGTTGGATCGCAGCCCATGTCCTCCAGTTCCACCTGAGGCTGCCAGGAGCTCACAGTGATTCCTTTGACAGCCTCATGTGATAGAATCATAGAATCCCAGCCTGGTTTGGGTTGGAAGGGACCTTAAAGCCCCTCCAGTTCCAACCCCTGCCATGGGCAGGGACCCCTTCCACTGGAGCACCTTGCTCCAAGCCCCTGTGTCCAACCTGGCCTTGAGCACTGCCAGGGATGGGGCAGCCACACTCTGATGCTTCATTTAGCAGACCTGCTGCCTCTTTGATAAGCTTTCACATCTAATTGCTGGTCCATCCATAGGTAAGATGATTTTAGTTGAAACAGCCATTTTCCCTCTGATGCTTCTCCAGGGGTTCACAAACTGATACAGCTTTTTCTCTCCATCCTACCTCAACCACAGTCATTCAGGTTTATATTGGCTTCACCTCCTGGACTCAGATGTGAGCTGCATTTTAGGAGAAGAGAAGGTTGTGTGTGGAGACCTCAGAGCAGCCTTCCAGTACCTGAAGGGGGGCTATAGGGATGCTGGGGAGGGACTCTTCATTAGGGACTGTAGTGATAGAACAAGGGGTAACGGGTTCAAACTGAAACAGGGGAAGTTTAGATTGGATATAAGGAGGAAATTCTTTCCTGTGAGGGTGGTGAGGCACTGGAATGGGTTGCCAGGGAGGTTGTGAATGCTCCATCCCTGGCAGTGTTCAAGGCCAGGTTGGACAGAGCCTCGGGCAACATGGTCTAGTGTAAAGCATCCCTGCCCATGGCAGAGGATGATCTAAAGGTCCTTTCCAGCCCTAACTGTTCTATGATTCTATGATCTACCGAACTTGTGATTCACGCAGGCTCCAACACAAGGTCCTTTCACTGATGTTCACTTGCTTTTTCTTTCTTTTCTGTTTTTTACAAGCTGAATCTGATGCTCACAAACTGAGCTCTCTCCAGCTGCCAAGATGGTAATAAACGTCTGTCTCCCACAGTTCAAGCCAAGGATTCACTGCAACAAGGTAAAGTAGCGATGTGAGGGGGTTCAGGCAGCTGGAGGGATCGGGTATAAGCGGTGTGTTGGACTGGTTGGGGCTCGGGGGATCTGTTTGCTGCTCATCTGTTACAGTTGGTGTTTCTGGAAGACTTATGTTTGGCTGCCCGTGCCAGGGTTTCCTGGGCAAACAAAGCAAAAGCAGCTCACAGCAAGCTCCCCTTGTTTTGTGTGGTCTGGCTGGTCCAGAGGGGGATTTTAACATGGGAGGCTGTGGATGTCCACTGCCAGCAGAAGCACCGAGAGCAGCTGCAGGTAAAGTGCAGGCGTCTTAGTCTGCAAAGCCAGGAGCATCTTTGTCACTTGAAATCGTTCTGCAGCGATGTGGGAGGGCTGTGATTTTCGTGGGTTTGCTCAGAGCTTTCTCTTCCAAGCTCAGCAGTCTCCTCTGTCATCCTCAGCAAGGTGATTCCAAGCCCCTGTGTCCAACCTGGCCTTGAACACTGCCAGGGATGGGGCAGCCACAGCTTCTCTGGGCACCCTGTGCCAGCGCCTCAGCACCCTCACAGGGAAGAGCTTCTGCCTAAGAGCTCAGCTCAGTCTCCCCTCGGGCAGGTTCAAGCCATTCCCCTTGGCCTGTCCCTACAGGCCCTTGTCCCAAGCCCCTCTCCAGGTTTCCTGCAGCCCCTTTAGGCACTGGAGCTGCTCTGAGGTCTGTAAGGACAGGTAGGGTTGATCCCAGAGCTGGAGAAGGCAGTCAGCTCTCTCACCTCCAGAGGTTTCTGTGGGTGGATGGGGCTTAGACTAACCTGCTCCAGTGGAAGGGGTCCCTGCCCATGACAGGGGCTGGAACTGGAGGAGCTTTAAGCTCCATTCCAACACAAACCAGGCTGGGATTCCATGATTTTAGGAACCTGCCACCTATTTTCTCCAGAGGTCTCTTTCCACATGGATAAGCTGACATAATGTTTCACCAGTGTT